TCCAACATCATTACCTGACCTCACAAATGCTCTTCTGGAAGAATGGTTAAACATTCCCATAGACACACTCCTAAACCTTGTGGACGCCTTCCCAGAAGAGTTGAAGCTGTTATAGCCGCAAAGGGTGAGCCAACTCAATATTGAACCTTAAGGACTAAGACTGGGATGCCATTAAAGTTCATGTGCTTGTAAAAGGTAAAGGTGCAGGTGTCCCAATACTTTTGGCAATATAGTGTATATATATATATATATATATATAAAATATGTCAGTTTGTAATAACTTTTTTTTTACATACTTTTACATTTTACTTTTACATTAAACTTGTGTTTATTTTTTTAACAATTTTACAGAAAATGTTTAATACAGTTTACATCCATGTTGGTAACTGTGGATCATGCCTGCATAGAGTATGTTAAACTACCACTTGTAGTCTCTACCAGAAGCCCATGTAACAGGGTGACAACACACAAGTGGGAGACAGGATAGAACATTGTCAAACTATAAACCTAAGTGCCTAAACGAGGTACTTTATGGCAGGATCACCTGGTGCTTTTTTTTGGAAACCTTAACATTTAAAAAAAATATTGAAAATTACCTTTAAAATTGCTATACTTTAAATACCTGAATTAATATAGGCACAAAATGGAGAGACTGTCAGTTCTGGGATAAATATAATTATAGTAAAAAATATAAAAATGTATGTTAACATCTGGGAACTGGGAATTTCAAAATTCATAAAAATAGTAAATAATACAATATTTTAATACTCAGTTTCTTTATGAAATAGAGATCCCTTCACAAGCATTTAGCATATTATGAATATATTGACAAAGTAAGATAGTTTGTTTTATTCATTGTGGTTACAGTACTTTTGGAATATTTCAGCTCTAAATTGTTTAAAATTTTTATAGATATTGCATCTCTTTCACATTAGTCCCATGTATTGGGAATTATGGATGTCTATCCTCAGATTATGTTGAACATGATAAAAATACATTGAAAACAGTTTTCTACTTGGGTGTGCTCAGAAGTGAAATCACGAGGTGATGGTAATATATCCTTATAGACTGCATGTATGTACTGTACATATTGTCAATCTTTCTCATTAAATAATGATTTTCGATTAGACTCAAGAGGGCTTCACAGTTAGTTTAAAAATATTTGCTGTGCATGTTGATAAGTCATTCTGCAATTTAATTTTCTTTTTAATCTACTGCTTTCAGGTGACTTTGGGAGTGTTATTTCTTGTTATTGCTGTGAATACATATACAATTAATCTGCTCTCTTCTCAATATAGCCATAAATACTAGTACTGTTTCAAATATGCTTTCTTTTTCTTTTTCTGCAGACATTTATGGAATGCCCACATCACCAGAGGGTTTCATGACGATTTGTGTAAAATGCTACGTGTCCTTGCGCCTCTGGTGCTTCTTTTGTTGTTGCTGATGGAGTCCACTGGCAGTCCTCACTCTATTCGCATTGGTAAGTTAATGCTTCATTACTGCTTCATTCAAAGAAGTACATTAAGTAGTAAGATGATTAGCTGTTAATGCAGATTTTGCACTTTACTTCAAAGAAATACAAATACACAATGACCTTACGGCAAAACAAAATCCTGAATTTCACTTTGTGCCTCCTTGTATACCTGGCTTGTTCCCTTTTCAGATTTGCTATAGAGCCTCTAATCAAAACTCATACTGGTGCTCCTTGCAGTGAGTGTGATCTGACTGTACTGATTTTTCTACCAGCTGAAATGGGGCTGTAGCAATGACCCCTTTTGGAAGGGAGGGAAGGACGCTCTGTACTCACATCCTTTCCAGGCAAAGCCTAAGAGGCAAAGGACGCTTCTAGAAGTTCTCTCCAAATACCGTATTTGCCGGCGTATAAGGCGACTGGGCGTATAAGACAACCCCCTAATTTTTCCAGTTAAAACATAGGTTTTTTGGCTATACTCGTCGTATAAGACTACCCCCCTTCAACACCATTTAAAAACATCAACATGGGCCATTTTGTTTAAATACACCCACTAATCTGTCAGCCCGCTGGATGTGCGGTAATACCAGAGTCATATATTGTGCAGTGATGACTTCAGCTAGAATCCTCTGCAATGCTACAGACTGAACCCTCATAGCCTTGTATGTGGCCACCCCAGGAAGGAGCTTCACCATTTGACTTGTTTGTCTCGCTGGATGTGCGGTAATACTGTATGTACGGTAGCTTCGGCTACATACAGTATACACAGCTGAGCCAATCACGGAGCGCGATGTATTCTATTAATGAATACAAAGCCTGCTCGGATTGGCGGAGGTTGTGTACATCGCTCGCCGTGATTGGCTCAGCGAGGTATACTGAATGTAGCCAAAGCTACCGTACATACAGTATTACCGCACATCCAGCGGGCTGACAAATTAAGGACGTTTTGTATACCCGGCGTATAAGACGACCCCCGATTTTCGGGGGATGTTTTTAAGTATAAAAAGTCATTTTATACGCCGGCAAATATGGTATTTATTCTCTTCCCCAGCCCACTAGCATAAACCCCCTCAGTGATTGGCCAGGGCAAAATAAAATATATATATATATATATTTATAACCAAACACATTTTATCTTCTTACACTGTCTACCAGAGAACAGTCCCCGGAAGCAAGCAAAAGCAAACAATGTCCTTGGGCTTAGGGGCAACCTAATAATCCTAGCTAATAAACAAAGCTAAGGCTAGCTACAGCCTAGCTGCAAACACCAGGGCCAAAAAGAAGATCTTGGGGAGAAGTAAAATGGTACAGCAGAGAAGCAAGACAATATAAGTCAGGGATGTAGAAGGACAGCGCTTTTTAGTATCACGTTTGGTGGACCGTATTCACTGGGAATGTAGACTCTGGGGTTTAGGAACAGACAAGCATGGATAGAAAGCAAAGTGACACTATAGGCTCAGGAGACAGGGAAAGTAGGGCTCCAGATGACTGCACGTTTGACAAGGGTGTGATAGAGGCGAGGGTCTAAAGAGCACCAGGTATTTACCGGAGCTTCCCACAAGGGGGCATTGGCTTTGCTATAGGACAGGTCCCAGGTTGCGGCCCCCTTGCATACCCAGTCAGTCACCACTGACAGAATACTGCTGAGGATATAGGATCACTAAGAAAATGGGTGGCAGTAATAGGAGACACAGGTGCTAGGCATGTGCTGACTTATGCGCAGTGAGACAATAGCTTCACAGAGGTTCAGGGTATAGTGGCACATGGGGGAAGGAGGTCCATTAAAGTACAGAGGTTTAAAATACACTGGTATAGAAAAAGGGGAACTGCTGCTGCACTGTAGTTCAGGATTCAGTGGAAGACAAAGAAGGAAGAATTTACAGCACTGAGGTACAGGATCCACTGATACAAAGAGGGGAGACAATACAACACTGTAGTACAGGATACACTGGTTCATAGAGAAGAGTCTGTTGCAGCACTGCTATACAGGATTCACAAAGCAGACAGCCGTACAGAGGGAGCCGGCTGGAAAGGCAATGCGGGCACACGGGGCTTAAATAGTGGAAACACATAGGGGATACAGGTGCAGTATTACAGGCAAACTCACTGAGGGAAGTTACTGCAGCTCTCTTGGATCATTCAGTGCAAATGAACGCATGTACAATGGAAGAGGGAAAAGCACATAGAGGTGCTGGCACACAGGGAACCTCTAGGGATAAACACCATACTACACTGAGAACACCTGAGGTGTCCAGGGATGGCATGAAGGGAATCTCTTTGGATAAAGACAGGAGTACACTGGGAGTGCAGAGGAGACAGTGAAGGCATAAAGGAGTCTCTTGGCATAAAGACAGATGTACATTGGGAATGCAGAGGATTCCAGGAGGTACAAATGAGTCTCTTGAGATGAATGCAGAAGCATACTAAAAATGCAGATGAAAGCACTCGAATTAGCAATGCAGGTAACAGTAGGAAAACTTAGGAAACACATTGATTAAACCCTAAGCAACAGGTATGCTAGCTCTATCTCAGTATTAGCCACCTGCAAATGGCTGGAAGCCGAGCACCTTAGACAAAGGGAAAAACCCAGCGCTGGAACATGGCGCATGTAATCATCGTTGATCATCGATATCCATTAAGTCTATAAACAAAAACAAACATCTGTAAAAAGTAATTACCTTTTTTAAACAAACCGCAGTGCTCTAGTTACCTTAGTTTGGTTCATTCTTTAATACAACCCTGGAGAGTCTCTGTATGTTGTGCAGCACTTTGGAATGTGAGCATTACTCCTGACACAGATTTTTTACGTGTTAAGACATGATATTGGTAATTGGTAAAAGAGCATCACTAAATAAATAGAAAACGGGTACACGCAGAGAGCAGCCAGAAATGGTTGAATTCTGATACTGCTCTGCACATCCTGGGTGAACCAAAAACCTGTCAAGCATCTCACCACTACATTGCTGCCTGACTTAAGCACCTCCAAACACCCTGAAGACCAGAGAATCCTGATATGTTGAGCCAGTATACTAAAACAAATTAGAAATAGAACCTTGTGAAGTAATTCTCCACGGCATCGAAGACAGACACCATTACTGTTGTGGTGACGAATTACAGAGCTCTTTTGCCTTACAGGAATCTCCTTCAAGGCCAGGCCTCCCTTCTCAGCCAGACAGTACATTACTGGACTAATTCAGAAAAATATTCTGAGAAGAGATTATAATGGCTTCCAAAAAAGCTATCCACTGACCTACTGCTTGAAATCAAAGAAATAGACCAGCTGACAGGATAATTCCACTAAGGTTCACATGGTCCATACAAATGAACTGTGAGAGACACAGAAAAACACTGAGAATAGGGTTCAGAGAGCTAAGCAGAGCTTTGGGGGCCTGTCAAGCAGTAGTAGACCTGACAGGCGTGATATTATCCTTCTTTCAGGAGCTCCTTGCAGATCTACTACTAAACAAACTGAAAATGGACCACCTCCACCATGCTCTGACCCACAAGAGAGATGACCTGGCTCTAAAGAATGTAATTGTGAAGATGCACTTCATTTACACAAAAGACAAGCTGTGAGAGAGAAAGATGAACACTCATTCCACAGCCACACTCTCCAGCTTTTTGTGTATCTTGCTCCCATTACTATCCCTAAACAACCTTCAGAGCCTATCTACAGATTTCAAAAAAAGAAAACACAGTCTACAGATGAAGCTTAGCCTTTAAATTAACCTTTATGCATCACAACTGTACTTACTAAGCCTCACCTTTTGCAATGACTTGCAAACCCTGCACCTTCCAAAACCATCAACGGACTACTTCGATGTACATGGCTGCAGTAAAACCCACCATGACAGTTGCGAATATGCAGATACAGTACTGTATATATATATATATTCTTCCTTTGAAAAAAGTTTGGCAGAAAATGTATTCTTCTCATTTGCAACAGTCAGTTTTTAGGTTTAGAATGTTGAATGTAGAAACAAGTACACATTTGTTGGTACCCAACACAAAAAAAACCTTTTTATTTTCTCTGAAATAACTTGAAACTGACTAAAGTAACTGGAATACATAATTTATTACATTTGAATAAAAAAATAGACTTTGTATTACATTTTTAATTTAACAGAATATTTTATATAAATGATGGGACTCTTAACCTAATATTTTGCTGCACAGCCTTTAGAGTCAATTACTTCAATAAATCAATTTCTGTAGCTCTCAATGAGACTTCAGCACCTACCAGCTTGTAGTTTCCCTCTCTTTTCTTGAGCTAACTGCTCCAGTTGTCTCAGGTTTGAAGGGTGCCATCTCCAGACTGCACGTTTCAACTCTTTCCATAAATGTTCGATAGGATTAAGGTCAGGGCTCATAGAAGGTCACTTCAGAATAGTCCAATGTTCTTAGTCATTCTTGGGTGCTTTTAGCTGTGTGTTGTACGTCATTACCCTGTTAGAGGGTCTATTATCTGCGACTGAGACAGAGCTTTCCGACACTGGGCAGTATGTTTTGCTACAGAATTCCTTGATAGTTTTAAGAACTTTATTGTGCCCTGCACTGATTCAAGACTCCCGTACCAGACTCAGCAAAGCAGCCCCAAAATATAACCAAGTCTCCTGCATGTTTTATAGCAGGTACAGTGTTATTTTTTTATAAGCTCCATTTTTCATTTGTGAGATTAGAGCTGATGTGACTTGCCAAAAAGCTCCAAAAAGTACATTTTCCCAGAAGCATTATGGCTTGTATTAGCAAATTTCAGTCTAGCTTTTTTATGTTTTACTTTCAACAATGGAGCCCTCCAGGATCTTCTTCCTTTTAGCCCAAAAAGGGAAGGAAAGTATGATCGATAAGACATAGATGTACCTTGGCTGTTTGTCTACCATTTGCACTATCCTTCTGTTCTGTCTGGGTTCGATTTTTCCTCCTATGGCTATATCCTAGGAGGTTTGCTACACTCCCATGGACCCTAAAGAACTCCGGGGAAAATTTTATTAACCCTTGCAGTGGGGCTA